TTTTAGGTCAATTTGATGACCACTCATCATTATATGTTTTGCAATGGACGGTCGGGGCTGGGTTGCTTGATCGATTTTGAGATGATCGGCTAGGTTGATGAAACATGGATTTGATTAGCTATTTTGGAATATGTTCCCCTATCCTATCTTCCAATCGGCGATCTGTCCTCCCTAAGTAACTTTCTCCGCAGTTACATGTGAATTGGTAAATACAGTGGGATTTGGACTGAATCGGTCTTGGAGACTCCATTGTGGTAACTGAGATCGATTGGGTTGTGGTGATAAGCCTCAGATTATGAATTCACTATTCAGATACTTTCGAGTGAAATAGTTTCAGACAGTATACTCCAACTAGTAATATCGATCATATAGATTTTCTGTTGTGAACATGTTTTAGACGAGATGTTGACCAATCAAGACTTCCATTCGCATTTTGAATGCCTTAACTGCCTATTAGATTATTGTGAACACAACTCACTGTCATGTCTCAACAAAGAATGTGACATGTGATGTAACCAGCGGACTGATCAGAAAGGGTGAGAAATGTTATTCTCTCTCTCTCTCTTATCTCTGCAGTCCTATTGACCCCATTGAGCCACAGAGTGATTCTAGTTTTATTTAAGAAATACTACTATTGTTTCACTGGTTGATTCATGAAAGTCAACATGCTGTATTGGTAGGCGGGAATGGTGACAACATGTCATTTATCTGTTGGAACGTTCAAATGAATCAAATGAGGAATGTAGACCAACAGTTATCTACTTCTCGAACTGTTTATTAAAGATGATCAACTTAACAAGTGTATCAGTTTTATTTACTACCAAATTATGCTAGGACACTCTGTCAAATCATCCGTAGTATAGTGAAGTTGAATGAGAAATTGAACATACGTTTAAAATTTAGAAAGATGATGGAATAAGGGTTTGTTTGTATTCATTCAATCATTCATCAAAATGTCGATTGTGGTAATGTGTAGTACTGTGAAAATTATCTTCGACACAACCACAATCAGATTAACAGTTTATGGTAGTTCAGTGTGCAGCCATTTCAAAATGATTGTTGGAAGCGAATATTGAGGCATACATGGTTTGTCATGTTGGATTAGACAGATGTGGATGTGCACGCAGTGTAATCGGATCTAAGTCTGTACACTAATTCTCCACCCTGACAGTGGAGATGTTTTTGAAAAGGTTGTGTTTGTTATTGGTTATTGATACGAAATATCACACAAAATTAGTGATTAGTGATTAGTGAATGAATATAAATGAAGTCATAGGATAAATGGAATGTGGTTTTTGTATATAGTTAGGTGAAACCTCTAACACACATCTCATCGGTTGATTCTTACAAAGTGTATATTTTGAATGTTTCCCGTTTATCAGTTGCTGTACTTTTTTAACTAAAATACTGTACTCTGTTTAGAAAAATCAGACCAACTTGGTCAACCGTCAACTGATAAAGTCCACACTTACTTACTTACTTACGTCTGTTAAACACGCACCGGTTTTCTCCAACCAACTCTATCCTGGACTTTCCTTTCCAGTTCTTTCCCATTTTAGCTGTATATAAAAAGGAATTGTTCAGAATTTATGATAAAAAATATAATGATATATATATATATTACATACGCCTGTTACCCGCAATGGAGCATAGGCCGTCCACCAGTTATCTCCAACCAACTCTGTCATGAGCTTCCCTTTCCAGTTTTTGTTCACTCTTCTCATGTCTTTCTCTATTTCTCGTCGTTATGTGTTCTTTGGTCTTCCTCTTTTCGTTTGACCTTGAGGGTTCCAAGTGAGGATCATCTTGTGACACAGATAGGTGTCTTCCGGAATATGTGTCCTATCTACTTCCCCTGCTTCTTCCTGATTTCCTACTACACTGGAATCCTGTTTGTTCTCTCCCACAGTATGTTGTTGCTGATGGTGTCTGGCCAAAGAATCCGAAGTATTTTGCGTAGACAGTTGTATCTTCTGGATGATGGATTTGGTAGTTCTGCAAGTTTCCGCTCCGTACAGTAGAACTATCTTGACATTTGCATTGAAAATCCTGATTTTGGTTTTGGTTGAAAGTTGTTTGGAGTTCCAGATATTTTTCAACTGTAGAAATGCTGCCCTTGTTTTGCCGATCCGCGCCCTCATATCTGCATCGGATCCACCTTTGTCGTCGATGATGCTGCCAAGATATGTAAAGGTGTCAAAGTCCTCCAAGACATCTTCATCAAGAGTGATTTGGTTGGCGCATGTTGTGTTGTATCGAAGAATTTCGCTTTTTCCTTTATGTATATTGAGACCTATTGCCGCTGAGGCTGCTGCTTCACTGGTTGTCTTTTCTTGCATTTGTTGTTGCGTGTGCGAAAGAAGAGCCAGGTCATCTGCAAAGTCCAGATCGTCCGAGTGCGTCCTAGCTGTCCACTAGACACCGTGCTTCCCTCCAGATGTCGACGTCTTCATAATCGAGTCGATCACCAGGAGAAAGAGAAAGGGTGAGAGTAAGCAACCTTGCCTGACACCGGTCTTCACCTTGAAGGAGTCATAACAATTCTGTATGATATTGACTATCATTTCACGCACGCCGTAGTGTTGTCCTGTCCACGCTATCGGATGCTTTCTCGTAGTCGATGAAGTTGATGTAGAGTGGTGAGTTCCATTCTATTGATTGTTACACAACGATCCGTAATGTTGCAATTTGGTCAGTACACGATCGATACTTACGAAATTCGGCCTGTTGGTCTCAAAGTTTGGCATCTACGAAGTTCTTCATTCTGTTTAACAATACTCTGTTGAAGACTTTGCCTGGTAATGAAAGAAGATTGATGCCTCTGTAGTTCTCACACTTGCTGAGATCGCCTTTCTTTGGTATTTTGATGAGGTATCCTTCTTTCCAATCTGATGGTACTTGTTCCTCATCCCAAATCTTCTTGAGGTGGATGTAAAGTATTTTCGCAGTTGCTTCCACGTCTGTTTTCATTGTTTATACCGTAATATTGTCTGGTCCTGCTGTTTTATCTCTCTTGATTTGTCTGATGGCCATGCTGATCTCCTCAATCGTAGGTGCGCCAATATTAATTGGGAGGTCCGTGGATGCTGCGTCGATGTTGGGTGTGTTCAGCGGAGCTGGTCGATTCAAGAGTTCCTGAAAGTGCTCTACCGACCTGTCTCACTGTTCTTCAATGTTGCTGATTACTTTGCCTTTCTTGCTTTTCACTGGTCGTTCTGGTTTATGATAGTTTCCGGAGGGCTACTTTGTTGTATCGTACAATCGTGACAAGTTTCCTTCTCTTACAGCCTTTTCCGCCGTCTTTGTCAGATCCTCCACATATTTCCGTTTGTCGGTTGTGATACTCTTCTTCACTTTCCTGTTTGCATCTGTGTATTCAGCTTGTGCCTTGGCTTTCTCTGCTCTTGTTCGGCTGACATTGATTGCTGCCTTCTTGTTCCTCCTTCCTTCAGTTTTTTCAAGAGACCAACAGAGATCCATTCCTTGTGATGGTGCTTCTTGTGACACAGAACCTCCTGACATGTTGAAGTGATTGCCTCCTTGATATCTTTCCAGTTGTTCTCCATGGTTGTTTCTTCTCCATTGAGTAGATCGTGCAAGGCCTGGAACTTATTGTTGAGGGCTATCTTGAATTCGTTGAGTTTCACGGTATCCCGAAGAGAGGCCGTAATGAAAGTATGTGATATTGTCTTCCCCGTTGTCCAGTGCTTTTTTAGTTTCAGTTTCATTTTGGTGACCAGCAAGTGGTGATATGAGGCTATGTCAGCTCCTCTCCTGGTTCTCACACCCTCCATAGTCCTTCTGAACGTTTTGTTGATACAGATATGATCAATCTGGTTTTGAGTAGTGTGATCCGGTGTAATTCATGTAGCTTTGTGTATGCGTTTGTGCGGGAATATTGTGCCACCGATGACCAGTTTGTTGAAGGCACAAAGGTTTGCAAATCTCTCATCGTTTTCGTTCCTTTCTCCCAGTCCATGTCGTCCCATGATGTCCTCATATCCAGTTTTGTCCATTCCAACCTGGGCATTTAGGTCTCCCGTTAGAATTGTCAAATCCTTTGGTGAGCATTTCTCGACGACTGAGTGCAGTCTTTCGTAGGATTGATCTTTATCGTCGTCATTGTGGGTGTTGGTAGGTCTATAGCATTGGATGACGTTCATTATGATTTCCTGTTTCTTTGTTTTGAAGGATGCTTTACTGATCCTGGGTCCATGTGATTCCCATCCTATTAGTGCATTTTGTGCATGCTTGGACAGCATCAGTGCAACTCCTTGTGTATGTGAAGCATTTCCCTCTTCATGACCAGAGTATAACAGCAGTTCCCCTGAAGCTGGCCTCAGTTGTCCTACCTGTGTCCAATGCGCTTCGGTGATTCCAAGCCTCTCCTGGTTGTATCTTTTAGTTTCTGCAGCAACTTGAAATAGTCTTCCATTCTCCCACAATATCCGAACATTCCATGTACCTCAAAGAATTGTTGCTCTGGTTGTCAGAAGAGGTATCGGCCTGGTGACTTCCGAGGAAACTTGGCTTTCATCACGAGACGTCATAATTCTTCTTTCAACGCCCAGGGCAGAGTTAAAGTGGTTCGATTTATTTTCTTGATAAGCGTTTTTTTGGTAAGTTGGTTATTTTGTTGGGATGTGGTCGCCAACCCCATGCCTAAACCTCCTCCTTTATCCAGGCTGTGGACAGGCAGTAGCCCTGGGGGTTCTACAGGTGGAGTTCACTATATCACACAAATACTGCACAGTATATTTAGATCTCAGCACCACATCTCGCTCACAATTGATGCGAAAAAACATACAAGTTATTCAATATTATTTCGTTGTTATGCTTAAAGTTCCAACGAATATGGTAAAAGAAAACGGATGAACAGATTTGTTTACTTGTATCAATATATTTTTGCACCAGTATGTGATAAAAGTGCTCGTGAATTCTGATTGGTCAAAGAATAAATTCACAAATGCATAAATTCGACAACACTGTGAACATTGATTATATCCTGATTGTCAACTCAATATGCTTAGAACACAGCTCAGCTTATTTCTCCTAATCTTAGTGAATGTTTGTGAAAATCTAGCCGCCACATGGAATGTATTGAATTCTGAGCTTCTAGCTCTACACAATGCATATAGACGAGAAATAAAATTTGGCAAAGTTCCAGATCAACCACATGCACTGAACATGATCAGACTGGTAAGTAATCGACTAGAAATTCTCCGTAGTATGTAGCCAGTGTGCATCACAGTGTAATAATCACAATGTTTTACTTGTTGATTATGTTAGGAATGGAGTTATCAATTGGCTGAATCGGCTCAATTGTGGACAAATCATTGTGTACCAATACGAAGTAACATATCCATGAGGAATAGTTCGAAATGGACATATGTCGGTCAGAATGTAGCTGTGGTTTCACAAGTTAAAGAGTAGGTTGATTGTATTCATTACATGTTAGTGATAACCTGCGAAAATGCGTTAGTTAATAACTCATATGATTTGAGTTGTAGGCAACATTGAATGGTTTCCTTTACTCCTCTCACTCTGTGTTCATTTGTTGATTTGTGTTTACAGTGCAGTGTCTTTGTGGTTTGATGAACACAAGAACTACAATTTTACTAAAAATACTTGCGCGTCGAATAAATTATGTGCAGATTACAAACAGGTGAGTGTTGAGCAAATATCATTTCGTTTATTATTATTATTATTATTATTATTATTATCATTGTTATAGTGAAAATTATTATTCTAGATTTAGGTATTGTAATAAGACAATTTCATTTCTGAATAACATTACTTTGTACTGGACATCTGCAGTTAGTCAACAGTGGTACAACAACACACCCCGTTTCATAACAGTATATTTATAGAACCATGACGATTCTGTAGTGTTTCGAATACTTGAATTAGTCTAGCATTTCACTGCATATCTTCATGAGTTTCCGTTGATTATTGAGCATATGATCGCTGATTCATTCTTTCAAATGGTTTATCGAATTCTTGTCGTGCAAATTTTATTCAAAGTTCCACTCACTTCCTTTCAGCTGGGTATAAGATTTCATCATTAACAGACAATCTCAACTGTGAATAATATTGACTTTGTGACTTCCATGTTAAACGTAGTTAGATATTCTTGATAAACGGGTAAGATTTCTTGTAGTTGAATCCAATACACTCAGATATGTTAAAGGGATTCTTAGTTTTGTACATTTGGCAGATTGTTCAGCTATTCCCATGGAACACACATGTCTCTCTATTCTTGCAATATGATTGATATTCATTTATGGCAAAGTCCAACATCCACATGATTTTTTTTATGAAACTCGTTCACCTTTGAACGAAATGATATATGACTTGCTTAAGACAGTACAATTCACTCACTACATGCTCGTGTGAATGTTTATGTCGGTCATTATGATAGAATGATTATGTATGTATAACTGTAAATCCTGATGATCAGTTAGACATCGCCATGATTGTTGAGTGTACATGAAATCAATTCGATTGATGTTTGTACCTGGTGAATTGAACAGTTTTATTCGAATGGACTAAACTGAAAACAAATATCGAATTTAAAAATTATTTCATGAAATGTAAATGATTTGTATAACATGCTTAAAACTGAATGTATTTCACAATATTGAATGTTTACAGCTAGCCTATGCCGACACTACACACATTGGCTGTGGCTATGCAAGATGTAAAAACCTGAATGCACCGAGGAACATTATTGTTGTTTGCAACTACGGACCAGGGTAGGTGATTCGAAAAGTATTTGTGTATTTATTTTCATTTCGAAACAACTAATATTCGAAGTAGAATTAATAGTGACACAAAGTTGTGCACATCAAGATGATGTTTGCTTTAATCCAGTAATATTAGAGATTCTTTATTAATCAGTAACTTTGATGGATTAACAAACCTGTGATTGTATCATTACATATTGATAGTATAACATGGTGCGTTGAAAAACATCATCGTTCGGCTACCAAATATGACGATCATTTTCCGTATGAACATCATTGTATGTTGGTAGAATGATTTCAAAATGATGATCGTTTTCATACAAGAAAAGGTAAAGCTGAACACATGTAGCAGTACTGATAGTACTTGTATATCGCAACTGTAACAATTCGACTGAAAAGAGCTCAGAGTCGAGAGTCGAATACTTCTTCAGTTTATTTGTGACAGACGAAGTTATTTTGTACGTGGAATGGTTGTGTTCATTGGAGTTGTGAGACATTTATATTATACATGCCCAAGATCAATGCTTTCCGGTAAACAACGATTTATGTTTCGAAGACGGGAAATTACCAGTGTTTTCGACTTTCGAAGTTAGTGATACTCTACTCTTCAATAACTTTGTGTTATGATGGGTACAGTACACTAGCGAGTCAACAAGTCACTTCTTTTCGTGAACAGTTGAACTGCTTAAAACAGGGTTGAAACTAATGAGTGATCTGTGAGTTACCGGTTTCTACTAGGATTTCAAAGAGTTTATGTGGGAAATGGATGAATATGTCATGCAGCTGATACGCACTTCAGTATATTTATATTGCAATACTCCAAAAATACGATGTACGTGTTTTGTATATAGAGGCTGTAATAAAAACCGTTCACCCTGTGAATATTCTATTCAATAATTTCCCTTCATTTGTTTCATTACTATTTGTATTGGGATAATGTGCATTTTTTAAAACGAATTTCTAACAAATTAAATTAAATTAGAGAGATAAATACTGTAATCTGATTTATAATTTATTTTATTCTATTTTCTTTACTCTAGTGGCAAATTTTCCTATCGTAAACCCTACCATGCTATATATCCAGATGATTTAAGCGATTTCTATCTTTAACTTGATCAACTACTATGACCGTTTATCACATTCAATGAGAATAATATTCAAACTATTCAGTATATTTTAATGTTGTGTGATTGATTGATTCATTGAGAATTTTCACTGTTTTTGTCAAAATTTCTTATTCCATTTTTTTTCATATGAATTAAAGTTGACTAATTCAATTTGTTAATTGTTTCAAGTGTGTCTTGCACATTCTCTTGTTTTATCTTACATCTCTCGCTCTGTATAGCAGTCTTATTATGATTTCTACATGTGAGTGTTGTGTACAAGTAGTTATGAAGTTTATTTGAGAAGACTATTTCGTGATTGCCAGTATGTCGAGTTTAGTCAACATGAGTGAAATTGAATATAACGCTATTATGAGTTTCGCATAATGGTCAATTCGGTGGCTTAAATGTGACTGTAATTCTCCGTGTCCATTTTCACACATCATTCGTATTCATTACAGTTTCACAACCTCCATTCCAAACATCTGTGACAAATGGGAAAGTTGTGTACAGACATACTGACATTCAAGTTTAGCTTAGACCTATTCATCCCTTTGAATCTCACATCAGTTGCTGATTATCGGAACACACCTTCAGTTACATCTCACGACTGAACTAAATTCAAATGGAAGTAATGTTTGTAAATGTAATTCATGAACGAATTACAGTTACTCATAAACTACTCGGCATTTTACTTCCTAAAGCAGGATTGTTGTTTGAATAATTAAGTGATTCTGATAAACAGAAAATTGTATTCCTATAGTCACACGATCTAAAATGACACGCGACCGGCGAATACGAAATTCCGATTGCCAATTAAACTATTGGCAACCATATGTAATCATCTGTTCAGTGTAACCTATAACATCAGTTTGCTTATTCACAAACTGCAGTCCACTTTGATACATTCGAAGCTTTCGTGAAAATGTATGACCTAATTTTTAACAGGGCATGATTGAATGTAATGGATTCAAGCAATAGACATTGGCTGTATTTGGGTGGTTTGAAATCCACGAATATTTGTCTTTTGCACACCTCCATCGCAATAGTTATAAACATGAAATAACAAGAGTTCATTTAAAACGATATATATTACTTAACGATTGCGACGCAATAGTCAGTGAAGGCTATGTTTAGAGGCTTAGCATTCAGAAAGACAGTTTTCTATACTAAATCATTGTCTGAAACATTTCAGAGTCTATTGCTTGAGATGTGATCAGTAGACGGTGACGCACAGATCATGAAAGCTTCATCGATACTGTGTATATGATGTAGAATGCTAAACACTTATCTATCTTTTATTCTTTGTACACCAAATGCGATGATGTTGAACGAATAAAGTATTATTCTAGCTATTGACCTTGTCCCATTGGATGATGTTTGAGAGTGACAGTGGTTTTACTAGGCTGTTCTTCATATGGGACTGTCTTCAAAGGAGCAATTACATTAATTAATACAAACTGTATGTATCTGACTGGTGTTGTAATTATGATGCACAGTATCGAATTGTACACCGATTTCTCATTATTTCATTTTCGCTTAGTTTTCAATGATCACATGCTGATATCATCATTTTTGTAAGGTCTTCGCGATTAGAGGATTCCAGCTGCCGAATCATGCAAACGTTTAACTTTTCTCACGTCAGTAATCGTAGCTGTGTTTGAGACTAGTACATGTAGACTTGAGCATGTCTGAATCAGCACACTCAGATGAAAATGATGAGAAATAAACTTGTTCGTCTACAACAAATCCTCAAGCAAATGTGAACATATTTCTTTGTAACTTGCGACCCTCTTTCCCCTTGATTCGTGCTACTAACTATTCACCATTTCCAGTAACTTTCTTCACACAAACATAATAGAATGAATCGACGGACGGGACGATTATGTGCGAGGAGATTCAAGCAAGATGTCGATTCGATGTGAATATCTCATTCATCAGGTATAGTCAGATATTGTTTCTGTAGTTCCACATGTCAGCACCTTATCAATCTGCAAGGTGTGATTGCAAGAACTAGTTGGATTGCGCTGTTAATTTAGTTATGTATTGGTGAAACTATTAGCATAAGTGTCAAATGTATTATCTATTTAACCATAGTCTATTCTCGTTCAGTTATCTTATCAGACTGTTATTTTGTAAGATGCAACTACTTTGTATCTCTGGTGTATGTAGTGTTCTCGAACGAACAAACCACTCTCACATAGTTTGAGGTAGATTTGTAAGTGTATGTGGGTTAACTGACATCAAACACATTTTGACGCTATCTGTTTAAGTACGAGATCACTGTTTAACTGAGTGCTCATTCTTAATTTCTTCACAGAGAAATGAGAATAAAGTAATTGAGTTTAACGTACTCAACATTGTTTGCTTCATTGTCCAAAACACAATATTTTACCAAAAACTGTAATATTTTACGTCCATAAATGACCCTAGAAATGGGACATGTCATCCCGCTACCTTTACAATATGTGAATAGAAGTTTCTCGTTAGTATATTCAAATAATATCTTTTTGTATACATATACGTGAATATTGATTGCTTCAAAGTCATCGTTCAAGATAAATCAATTTTTCTAGATTAACTTTCAGTCATTCATTCTTATTTACTGGAGATTAGAATGAAATTTGAATGAACCGACTAGTCGATTGGAGTAAATGCTTAAAGTCAGGTCATAGATATAAATCGGGTCCATGCTGTATAAAACGTAGATTAATGTTTTCAAGTATACCATATTTGTGAAATAGACAATATTGAACAGTTGAAAACTCATTGAACAAATTGTGATACAATATTTTTAAAAATGAGATCACCGTTAAAATTGACTGCTTATTCCTGGTTTTTGAGTGGGGGGCATTAGAATTTAAATAAGGACTTCATTGTACGCAACAACGTTTGTTCCATCCTCTGGAACACTATTTTGACGCAAAATATAGGATATTACATTCACAAGTGATCCCCTCTCAGTTAAGCAAGTAATTCACCGAGGCTTGTTACATAGCAATGTGCATGCTTGACTTATCTGATCGACTAAATGGTGAAATGGATACTAGGTGAATACAGACTTCGACAAACAATAGATCATTCTCAACAACTACAGCTGAATCGATCTTGGCAAGAAAAATGAACTTGTCATATCAGAGAAACTATTTGAACCAATGAAACTCTGAAAAATGTACAAATGTTTTGTTGAATATTTCATAAATAATTCATGAAATATATGAAAGTTTGTAGAAATTCACTGATATCTAAATTGGAGTACATGATATATTTTCTGATGGTTGTATATACACAAATTTGTGAAAATATCTCTCTCGAATTTATCACTGACTCAATTAAGAGACTGAATTCTGATCGGACCAAATCAATGTAGACAATGAACATAGACACAGGCTGAATGACTCACAAACTTCGTTATTTTTCAGTAAATCTACACTTGATGAGAAACTATCCATTCTCTTGTCACTGAAATTCAACCGTTTATCCGTCTGTCTGTATGTCGACCTATTTATCTATCTGTCTCATACCTTCAGTAAACATAGAACCATTAGATGAAATTGATTTCGGCAAACCAAAACTGATTTGACTGAGAATTTTACTAGTCTTACAGAATACATCCGTTTACTTCAGGTAACAGAAAATTAGTTTCTTGTCCCTCCCTATACGTTCGTCAAGAATACTAAACGATATCTCGAAACTATTGTTTCGTCATAAATGCTTATCATTTAATATAGGTTAACAATGATTTGTTTGTTCACTGGAAATGTGGAAAAACACAACAAGTCTCATCCTGGGTGTCAAACAAGGTAGATTATTTGCGAGTAATCTCATTGCCATCAAAAATCAGCACGTTGCCAACATGTTCAACTGTGTATTTAGGTGTGCACAAGACTCACATATTCATATCGGTCGAACTTTACGTGTATCGATCGGTACCAAACACTAAAACTAACCTTCACGTTAGACACATTGCATGTTGGTCTGTATTCTGAACTAATTCTCTGAGATACTTGAAATTGACTATTCTGTTTGTCTAACTCATGTATTTCAAACGGCTGAAAGCGTGCTATGAACAAGTATAATTGATCAACTGTTCACAATGTGTATGGTCAAAAGATTGTTACTAAACATTTCTCATTATGGTAGACATTGAACTAGCTGAAGGAAGGCGGAAAACTGCTAACCCACCTTAAGTCATTTCACACAAATTCACAATCACAATCATATATACTCGAACAGATGATATCACATTCCAATCAACAAAATCCTACTACTGTTCATCAACAACACTGTTTCCGCACACACGGTTACACAAGTCTAGTAAAACGAAGTACATTCTGTTCGTATATATATATGAGAGACAGAGAGAAAGAATGAAAACAAGCAAACAATAGCATTCATTATCTTTAATGTTAAGGATCAAAAAGAAAATATCAAGTATGTATGTGTAATAGATGTGAACACCATGACATGAATCAATTCCAAGCGTGATGTGCAATATATAAAGTGAAAAGTGTATTTTTATTGCACTACACCTATTTTTTTTTCTGTTTATGGACAGATATATCGTTTTATAGCTGTGTACTTCTTCTCTGGAAGAACTACTTCCATTGTCCCGTTACAAGTTTGTCGTACATATTTTGGACCACATTTCTTTACAGCTTTGTGTACACAACATTTATTTCTATACTTCATAATTCTTTGACTGTAATGACCTCTTACGTGATATGGAGAGTATTTAGGACAACCACCTCTGAAATGAGAATAAGCATAGAAGATGATCATTTTGATGATATCATTAACAAATGAATAGTATAATCTCACAAAGTCACATTTGATTTGCAATAATTATCAGAAGGCTCTCTCTTCACTGCTACCAACCTTCATTGGTTACTGATTACGTGTCCCTTGACTTATTTCTCTCTTAGACAGTCGTATGGATACTTTTGTTCAATACATGAGATTTGTATGACAAATTTCAACTATCTGTTTGTAATTTTGTCTTAATTAACACTGTTGATCTGTATGCTTTTCAGACTAATGAAACTGCATAGTTATTAGCCAAAAAAATACACGATTCCGTGATTGGACATTTAAATAAGTTATCTTTTGATATTGTTTGAAATCTAGATTCATAAAAATGACATGGAATAAATTAGAGAGCCTGTTTCAATAGTACATAATGACATTGTTTAATTGATATGTTTCTCCCTAAAAGAATGTTTGAGTCTAAGGTTAGAGGAAACATGGCTTCATTCCCAAGATTCCACAATATTAACAATTAAGTGTTCCGTATTCACCCATATACTCAAATGTCTGATCGTCAAACCAGAAGAATCTAGTACTATGTAGGCAATTGCGCACAAAAATACAGTCACAGGAATTTTTCAATGAATATTGACTATGTGGAAACCATTAGTCTTGGTAAGTATATCAAGTCACATCAAAGTATCAAGGTGGTTGACACACCCAAATAATAATGAGTATCGATGTATTCATGCTAAGCTGTATTTGCATTGTATTATCACTCGTTCAAGCGTGAAGATATATATTCCTATTGAAACAGCAGATCAGATAATGTCACATGCTAGTAAACATTCAATTCATATGTATTTAGACAGTTTCAGTTAGATCAATGGTGATGTGGGGGAAGATAGTTTAGGGTTGACTTACCCTGGACCATAGTTGCACACAATGCTCAGTTCGAATGGGGAATGCGGACATTTTGCAACACCGCAACCAACATCCGTAGTGTTTTCCCAGACTATCTGTAAGAAACATATCAATGTTAAGTGTATAAGATATAGTTGGAGGTTTATATAACTCAACAGTCATACAAAACATGGACAATCAAGTTGTTCATATGCTGGGGTAGTATTTGGATGTCGTTCTACCATTTGTACATGTTACTGTCTACATTCGAAAGTAAACCACTTCACAATTCAGAAATATACAATCAATGATTGAATCAAACACATTGTTGATCATCTAAATTATTAAACGATAGATAGTATGCGCTAGCGTTAATTATGATATATTTGAACGTATTGTCCTCCACTGAATGGTTTCATCATTCTAGTTCTTCTTACCTGTGTGTACTGACTACATCGACCAGCACGACAGAAACGATTGAAGTAATCGTAATTCTTGTATTCATTCAACCACAGATTGAATCCACTTCAATAGATAGAGAAATGAAGAAAGAAAATGTGTCAGTGGAAACACATATTATACTCTTATTGTTTTTGACAGTTCAGGTAAACACTTTCACAAATCAAAAATCACTTACATGTCAATTCTATTGGCACCTGCCAAATTTTGTCCAACATTATCAAAACCAGGTACTTGGCGTTCTATATCATCGTCATGTTCAAAGTTGCATTTGTCAGCCAACTTTTGAGCTTTCATCTCCAAATACGTATTCCATTTCTATAGTAGATGTTGAAAGACAGAATAATAAGAATTTATTGAGAAAGCGAAATAATGATCACTGAAGTTTGTAAAGATGATGCTTTTTTTATCATCTTGTCATTTAACGGAGTGTTTGTGTACAAGTATGTAATCCTAGTCTATCACCGTTGGTGCTATACAAAATGATTCGTATCTTATTGTTTAGAGTCTTTATATATTTACTTAATCAGTCAGTGGAAACATTCTAGTCTAATCGAAATACTACACACATGCTTCTTGAATGATCTTTAATTAATCTGAGTTTGGTAAATGATTTCACTCAGTGATGATATTTCAATGTCTGTCGTGGTGAAAGTGGATGGAATTTCACGAAACCAACTCATTATTATTCACATAATTATTGAATATAAAAGTCATTTAGTACCATGAACAATACACCTTTGAACATGTGAAACATTTAGATGGGTAATTCTCCAACTAAAATCTATCATAGTGATCACGAATTTTTCAACAAGTGATCATCAATACGAAATCTTAAATATATTTCGATTGCTTAATCCAAACCTGAGACACCCATTATTTTTGATTATTATTATTTCACACATGTTTCTCCACTGAATAACAACAGATAACATTATGTGTATGAGTTCAATCTTCTTCTCTGTGAGAAAAGACATCTCAACGATTGTAAATAATTCATTAATCTTACCAATTCTTTAATTGATCTAGCTATTGGTTGTCCTTCTAACAATCCTTGTAGTGCTAATTTCCTTGCATTGTTATGCAGAGACAACAATAGCGATCTTGTTTGATCATCTATTCTTGCATGAACATAACCAACAACAAGTAGGCATATAAATGATAACACTATTGTTAGTGATGATTGTTGATATGTCGCAACCATTTTAAGGTGGTTTGTTGTTTTCACACTAACTGATGGATGAATGAATGAATGAATGCAACAAGGTAATGTGCTCTCTCTAGTTAATGTCTATTTATATACTTTTGTGTTCAAGAAAAACTACACAAAGGTTGGATTATTTATTTAAATCATATTGAATTTAGCAAAAACAGATTAGTCGCACGTCAATCAGGCTTAGGCTAAGATAAATGTTGATCAGCTGACTGACATTAGTTTAATCTTGAACAGGATATTATTTAATTTTACAAAAAATATATGTTGTTGTAGTTAAATGTACTTGTAACCTTCACCTTATTAATTAATTATACATGTGTAGTGGAACGCTTCTACAAAGAAAATACAATTTATGAAAAATAAACATTATTGTACTCGTTTTGTTTAACTGTAGCAAAAAACACTTCTACCACTTCTTGCGCGCGCAACGTTCTGTTCGCGTTGCTGCCATTTTTCTAAATGCCTTGCTCCCCATGTAATGCCAAAGTTCTCCTTCAATAAAAATACTCAACCATGGATTTATTTTGATTTTAATGACGGTGGGATATTATAGAACACTTAGTGGTGAGCATAGTCAATCTGGTGGTATCTTGACTCGCTCATTACACATGCAAAACGGATAAATTTTGTGAAGTTTCAAAATGAGTTCCTGTATGGAATGAAGCTTTTCATATTTACCTAATGGTAAAAATTGTGCCCTTTTCATGAAATGAAGTGGACGTTGATGACTAAGTGTAGTAGTTGATCCTTTATTCAACACATTTCCTTCATAATATACATTCAGGTTCATTTCAGTTCGTAAGGACAGGACTATTACTAGATGATCGTCGGCGAGCAATCATCTCAAATTCAATGGTGCATTATTACTTTATAAAGAATTCACTCATATGATGAATGGAAATGGTGAGAATATCTAAAAAAAAATAAGACGTAAGGATTCACTTACTGTAGAAAATTGACAAATCCAAGACAGTGAATACGTCTATATGGCATATGAATGCAACAGACAGTAGTTTCATTGAAATCAACCGAATGTGAAAAATGGAAAAAACAAATAGAAAGTTATCAGGGGAATTGACTCACATCGTTGTGTTCACATCGAATACACATACATACTTGATATTTCCTTTTATCTTTAACATTAAAAATAATGCCACTGTTGGCTTTCTTTTTATTCTTTCTCTGTCTCTCCTAAATATGTGGATAGAATGTTCTTCGTCTTACCAGACTTGTGCAACCGTGTGCGGAAACAGTGTTGTTGATGAACAGTAGGATTTTGTTGATTAGAATGTGATATCATCTGTTCGAGTATAGGTGTGTACCGAGCGGGTCATGATACCAGATTGACTATGCTCACTACTAAATGTTCCATAATGTCCCGCCATCATTAAAATCAAAATAAATCCATGGTTGAGTATTTTATTGAAGGAGAACTTTGGCATTACATGGGGAGCAGGGCATTTAGAAAAATGGCAGCAACGCGAAGAGAACATTGCGCGCAAGAAGTGGAAGGAGTGTTTTTGGTACAGTTAAACAAAACGAGTACAATAATGTTTATTTTTCACAAATAATATTTTCTTCGTAGAAGCATTCCACTACATGTGATTGTGGTTGTGAGTTATTGTGGATTGACAGTGGAATGAAATTTTTTCCTCGTAAGTTTTGGTCTGTTCAAGATTTGTTATAAAGTAAAATCTATGGCATAAACTTTTGAACATTACATCAATAAACAGTTAGTAAATTGCACTTCTTTCCACATTATATCGTGAAGCATATGCGATTTTTCGGATTGAGCAGACTATATTAACTACCTATTCATGACAGTTAGCCGAACTATTTTAGCGAACACCTAAGGTGTTTTTTAGAAGGTCAACTTTACAATAATGATGAAGCGGAGTCGAAATATATTTCATGGATACGCATTCCTTAATAGTGACAGTCTGCATTTTAAGCCTTAAGGGGAATAGAATTAGTAATCAAGTGTGTCAATTTTATCCGATAATCTACTAAACAGCCTTATATTGACAGATCAAATCATGTATTCTTTAAGTTTAACACTTAAGCATGTTTCATTTCGAATTCCACCTATTTTAAACAAGAAATGAACTACATGTGTGGTGTGTGCTACTTATACGAACAATATAAGTAGTATAAGAAGGCACGTGAAAGAAGAAGTCTCACGGTCAGTAGAGGAAAACGGAAAGCAAATGGAGCAAAAGCAAGAAGTAAATGGAGTACCAACAGGAAGAAAAGGAAGCAACAACAGGAATGGAAGAAGGCTGGAGCGTTGGAAGTCATGACTCAAAGATGGTGTGCAAATAGAGTATTCAATGTAATGTTTTCGTTTTTAAGTGACCCAGAGTGTAAATTTGCTTAATACAGTCAACCGCGCCTGCCTCAGTCTTCTCACATGAATGCTACGATGTGAATTATTTTGCTAAATATTCTATTGTAATTTTATTCACTGGTTTACAACTTCGTCTTAATTCTTTTTTGCGTAACTCGGATCAATGACAATCGTTTGCTACTTGATAGGTATGAATCATCTAAATATCCTGTAGTTATCAGTAGAGAAAACGCTATTTCAAGTATGTCGAAAAAAGTCTAACTTACCTTTGCAGGCAAGTCTAAATGTTCTGCATTCAGTTACTGAATGCGTAGTTGTAGATGTACACTGCTGAGGCATCCCATACTGGGATTACACAGCTATTCACTGAATCAGCGTCCTCAATGATGGTGGTCTAGCTAATACGGTCTCGTAGCTTTAACTATAGAAAATTCTGTAATCTTCACAAATCCCGTTACAATGATAAACTTATTTTGGTTGCACGAACACTACAAACACAAATGTTACTATTTTCGTATTTTTATGGGAATGCATAATGAAGTTTTTAAAGATGAAAATTCATCTCTACATATTATAATAGTCTTCATTAGTTTGATCACAATATTGGCCTAAAACCAATTCACATTTTTAACTAAAATAAGAGAGACAAATAATGATTTATTGGCAATATCGAGGGTTAGTGGTAGTCTGAAGCCCCGATTTTGTGATAGGATCGTGTATCAGGAGGTTAGCAACCCCTTCCCGTTGAAAAAAACCTGCGAAAATACATTAACCAGAAAAAATAACTCAAACTATTTAACATCTGTCCTGAGAGTTATGACGTCTCATGATCAAGGCCTAGTTTCTTCAAAAGTCACAAGGCCAATGCCACTTCTCACAACCAGAGTAACCAGCCATATAGGTACATGGAATGTTCTCACATTGTGGGAGACCAGGAGAATCATCCAACGTGCTGAAGAATTAAAAAGGTGCAAGCTGTAGGTTACTGAAAGAAGTCAAACACGCTGAACTAAGACTGGACAGAAAAGATTAGCGTCAGGAGAGATATTGCTGTATACTGACGATGAAGACGAAAGTGACTCTCACGCACAAAGAGTTGAACTGATGCTCACTAAACGAGCGCGAATACCACTTAAACGATGAAAATTTCATGGACCCACCATTATCAAATCATGCTTTCAGAAAACAAAATGGGGGATTCAAATCGATCTAATACAGTGTCATGAGTCTAACAATGACATCTGTGGAAATTATAAAGATGAATTTTGTGAGAGATTGCAGTCAACCGTACAGAAATAACCAAATAAAAGCCTGAGTATCTTGATGAGGTACCTTCCTAGTGATGTTATCCACCAACAATCGGAGGGATCGGTATGGCGATCAGACAAATCAAGATACGCAGAGAAGCAGTACAAGGCAACATACCAGATGTGACTTTGACTTCAATAATAGCAGTAACTGCAGAGATAACCAGGCTGATCCCCTCAAGCACTGGTAGTGTTTCGACCCAACTGCGACACTACCAATCACTGTGGAACAACCAAATGAATGGAACTCATCACTTTACATACACTTCATTGACTACGAGAAGCCATCTAACAGCGTAGACAGCATGTGCCACTATGTCGACTTACACATTGAAATCATCAATCAATCATTGTTAGACCACCACCACCTCGAAGCACCAGACGGCCATTTCGTCCTAGTATGTGGACTTCATCGACAATACAGTGTACAACAACAGATGGTCAACATCAAACGGAATTATTATGATGGATTAAACTGCAAAATTGTGAATGAAGGACGGCACACAGGCTCGTTCCAACTGAAAACTGGTGTCATACAAGGTTGATTACTCTCACCGTCTCTCTTTCTTTTGATGGTTGACTGCATTATAATGACATCAATATCTCGCGGGAAGCACGGGATACAGTGCACAGTCAGGATGCAGTTAACCAATATGGGCTTCACATATGCTCTTGCTCTTCTATCACACACGCAACAACAAATTCAGGACAAGAAGACCAGTGAAACAGCAGTCTCTGCGGCAGTACAACAGAAAAAGCAACATACTCCCATACAACGCAGCATCAACCAAACAAATCACATTTGGAGGAAAAGCTTTGCAATATGTAGAAACTTTTACAAATATGGGCAGCATGATTGATAAATAAGGTGGATCTGGAGCAGATGTAAAAACACCGATTGCCAAGGTAAGGACTGCATTTCTACAATTTAACAACATCTGGAACACAAAGCAATCGTTAACCAATATCACAGTCACGATTTTCAATACGAACGTCAAGAACGTTCTGTTGTATGGAGCGGAAACTTGGAGAACCATGAAAGCCATCATCATCAAGATACAAGTGCTTATTAAAAGTTGTCTACACAAGTTACTGACGATCCGTTGGTCAGAAACCACCAGCAACAAACTACTGTGGAAGAGAACAAACATGATTCCAACTGGAGGGGGAATAAGGAAGAAGCGTTGGATTTGAATTGGACAAGTATTCAGGAAATCACCCAACTGAATCATGAGACAATCCCTCACTTGGAACCCTTAAGGCCAAAGAAAAAGTGGTAGACCAAGGAACACATTACGCTGAGAATTGGAGACAGACGTGAAAAGAATAAACAGCAGTTGCACAGAACTGGAAAGGACGGTTCAGGACAAAGTAGGTTGGAGAATGCTGGTTGGCGGACAATACTTTATCGGGGGTAACAGGCGTGGGTAGATAACTGTTATAAAATAATGATATCGAACGTGTAGTTAATTAAGAAACAATAACAGTGCACAACCTGATTCTTGAATTCACCGGTTGAAGTGCATTCTTTTCCTAGGTTCAAAGTCTCTTGTTCTTGCATGACAATATCATTCCTATTTCTTTTAGTTTATAAATGTGACTCCTGAAAGTAGCTTCGATGAGTATTACTGAATAAAAAAGTTTGAAGAATAATAAGTTATATTTATCTTTCAGCTTCGTAGTTGGAAACTTTAGCTTTCATCTTCGTGCAATTTAACATTACAGGGTGTATAAGTTCACTTGAATATTATACATATTGGTGTTAGTAATTCATTGACAGCACATCTGAAAATGTAGTTGGTCTTTAAAGTGAAATCTATAACTACAATGACACTGATTATAAAATTCACATTGATTCAAACACTTAATCATATCATTGACGATGATTCAACATTCCAGAACAAATTTTAGAAAATCTAAATTCATTTTCACTTATCATATTATGAATAAATTTTATCAGTAAAGAAGGCAATATATTTTAGGATAATCTTACACAGAGAATTCATATTCTAATTCGAAAATATCTCTTAAAAACAGCATATTCTGTGGTGTGTGCTACTTACACGAACGATATAAGTAGTATAAGAAGGGACGTGAAAGAAGAAGTCTCACGGCCAGTAGAGGAAAATGGAAAGC